CACACACAGTCAACAAACTATATGTTAGACTCATCTTCCAGAAGTGTGCCAGGCGCCTGTACCTGGCCGAAGGAAGCAAGGGGCAGTGTGTCTCGTGCTGATGAGCATGGCATCAAAGGAATGTATGTCCTACGTGAGGACTCCTTGGCCCGCAGCCCTTGGTGGCCTCCCTGCCCTGGAGAGCCAGCCCGCAGTGCGCCCCTGCCCCGCGCGAGCCAGGATTTGGGGAGAAAGACGCTGCTGGGCTCTGCCAGCTGCTTTCCTCACCTCCTCCGTCTCTGGAGTGCATTCTTTTCTTCTAGGCGGTTGCCCAGCTCCTGGCCGAAAGGCTCCCATTGGGATATTGATGTTTGCCTAAAAGAGAAAATAGGGAAGATTTAGCTCAAGGAAAGGAAGACATTGTAATGATACTCTGAGACGGTAATCGGTGTGAGAAAAAACACATCTGAAAAGTACATCTTTAAAGCTTTTTACCTCAAGAAAATTGCTGTAATGGTAATACAAAAATATACAAAGGCAAATTTGACTTCCATTTATTACAAATTTCTGTTATTCATCCTTAGGTCTGTGCAGTGATTTCACAATTCTCTATTCAATGGAAGAATTTGAAGACAGTTTGTTCTGGCTGTTGCCCTCCTGTGGTGCTTTATATTTTTCTCTCTCTGGGATGAGAAAGGAACAAATAATGATAGGAAAGGAGGAAATGCATCCACAGAAGCCATCCCACACCTCAGCCCTCCTTCAGGTTCCTTCAGATTTACCATGGGAGGGGGCAATCGCGCCTCCTGAACTGCCTCCTCCTTTCCATAGTGGCCTACGGCTGTTCCAGCACTTTATTTAAAGCCTAGAATTGACAGTATTCTGCCTTCTTCCCAACACACCATTGTGAAAAAAGAGTGCTGAAAAGTTGTTTGTTGGATCGCAGTTCATAGATTCTTGTCCCTCATTAAAATAACATACTAATGGCCATCCACAGTTAGCAAAAATTACCTTCTAATAAAAGTAAACGATGCTAAACCTTAAATTATGCAAGCAATATACTGACAGCAATTTTAAAATTATCTTTATTGATGAAAGCATTCCAGATGTCCTTTTGCCCCTCTTGGCCCCCTCCAGCCGCTCCCCCCAGGCCTTCCCCGCACTATTGCCTGTGTCCCTGGGTTACGCACATAGGCATATAGGTTCTTTGGTTAATCTTGGTGAAGAGAATATGTAAATTTGAATTTTGTCCCTATTTCATCTGATTTCAAAAGACAAGCATGCTTAATGCAAACCAGAAACATCTTCAACCAGGAGTATCACTCACATAAAACAAGCGTTAAAACTTTTTAAGGCAGAACATATTCTTCTCCACTTGAGATAAAATGTTCATTGCCTTATGAGTAACTGGATATGTGGGCTTGAAAAGTTGAAATTGCACTTTGATGTTATGCATGAAAATGATGCCTGAGCAAAGAGACTAAAGTATTTTACTTTATGACACAGTGTGGATGACTTTGGTCCCACACCACATAAAATTACTAGGAAGCGTGGTCAGGTCCGCGCGGAGCCGCCTGATGTGGGCCCTGCTGCCAGGGGATTGTTTAACTCAGGACAGGGAGCATGCAGTGTGCACGCCCAGGCAGCAAGTGCCCTTCACCTAGGGGCCCATTCCCGACCAGAATAAAGCTGGTCCCACAGAAAGGAAACGTCCCAAGTGTTTGTGGGGGCTGTCAGGAGAGGCATTTCACCATTCCGAGGGCCAAGAAGACAAGAAGTATATTTGATCAGGATGCACCATATATGCTGAAATATTAGGACAGCACAATGTTGGAGGGAAGCATTCGGGAAAGCCTAAGGCCGATCCTTCTCGGCTACTCCTCTGCTTAATGGAAATATCAGGAGGCACAGAGTGGGAGGAGGAGGGGACATAAGGTAAGGGGGAAATATGTCTTACATGGTGGCAAATACGATAACATACTTCATGGATCCCAAGATGTATCCCTTTTAATATCTCTGAAATCGGAGTGTGTCTTTACAGCGATGGTATCTTAAAATTTTAATTGGCATGTTTTATTTCTTAATATATAAAATAATAGTTTATAATTGAGTGTCACAGATTGAATGAAACATCATTAGGGTACTGAAATAAGATCAAAACAATGTAAATAACACCCACAGGAGGTGATCTCTATTGAACCAATAACTATTTCCGTTACTATAGACAATTTGGATGAAAGAGAGGAAAAGTCAATATAGGTACTGTCCGGGAGAAGGTTAACTGGTTAGATCAGCACTACCATGACCCATTAATTAACTTTCTACAGGGGACATCTTCCCAATGATGAATTCAAGTTAACATTGTTTCTGTAAGATTATAGTGCTGAACTAACCCATTTAATCAAGTGTGTATGCTCTATAGTAGGTCGTAGTTTTCGGTAACGGAACATGTAAAAGTCGCCCTAGGTAATGTTTCGATGAAGGACATGCAATGGGACCCTCACTGGTTTTGCTCACTGGTTAAAGCATCAGCCGGCAGAACGGAGGGTCCAGGGTGCGATTCCTGGTCAAGGGCACGCACCTGGGTTGCAGGTTCCATCCCCGGCCCCAAGAGGGACACGAGAGGGAGACAACCAATCGATGAGTCTCTTTCATCTCTCTCTCTCTCTCTCTCTCCCTACCCCCCCTTCACACTCTCTCTAAAAATCAGTGGAAAAAATATTCTTAAGTGAGGATTAACAAAAAAAAGGACATGCTATAGGAATACTGCCTTTTCTTGCTTAGAGATTAATCTTGGCCATGCATGTACCCTCTCCTTGGTACATGGGTGGCTTATGGTAGTGAAAAGAGCCCAGTGCTAGGAGTTGCTACAGATAATCTGTCACTGAAAAAGTGGCAACTGCTCTGGAGCTCTTTTCCCCCATTTGTAGTAGGAATGTTAGGCTTCATCAGTGGTGTTCAAACCTGTAGCCACAGAACCCTTCCTTCAAGTAAAGGATTGCAAGAACATCTAAAATGCAAACTAGGTGGAGGTGGAGTTGCTCTGGCTGAGGTGGTAGGAAGCCCAGAACCCCATCTGCTTCCCCCAAGCCCAGAGCCATGAGCATTTCCTTGGAACTTGGGGAGCCAATCTGACAACCATTGAAAGAGTTACCATCCCTAAGTGGATGAGTGTTGATGTATACTTGAACTATTTGCCTATTAAGTTGTCTGTAATTTATTTTAAACTACTTTAGCATAGACAGTGTGATCTTTTATATACGTGCAGTTTGGTTTAAACTGCAACTCTGGGGGCATCTATTGCTCTAATTGGGAGCTCATCCTCCTGGGGTGGTTGGGTGGTAAAATATCACTAAGGCCACACTCCCAGGATTGCAACTTGAAGTGCTTCTGTTAGCCATATCTCCACCAACACCTGAGGCCTCGATGTTTGAAAAAAAAAATGAAAAAACAGCTGAAATATTGGAATGAGCATTAGAAATAGTTTCTATTCATCAAATTAGAGGAGGTTAAGATATGGAGATTGGTTAAAATACTTTGGAGACAATCCCCTCCCTGCTGAACAGAGTGTAAGTATCTGATGCCTGTAGATTTCATCCTCAGAGACAGCTCAAGGGGTGATCCCCAAATAGGCCTGTCTCTAGCCATTGCTAATGACCATTTCCAGCGGGCTGCTGCCAACTAAGGGCAACAGAACCCCCACCTGCCTCACGAGATGTTTATGCGAGGCGGCCGTCATTCGCAGCACTTAAAGGGACAAGAGCTGAGCCTTGATGGAGCTCACAGACACACTGTATAAATGGTTTTATGCTTGCTTGCTAATGAATGTGCGTCTAACAGATGTCTGTGTGTGGCAGAGTTGGGTTTGAGACTAGCTTTCATCTTAACAATGTGGTAAGGTTGTGTGACAGTAACTACTCCCCCCAGGCCCATCTACCACAAACTACCTTGTTCACCCCGAAATCCCAATATTTAGCCTAGTCATCACAACACTTATATCCTCACAACAAACTTCTGAGGTTTGGACTGTCTTCATTTTACCGACAAAGAAGAGACTGAGCCTCAAAGAAATTAGATGGTTTTCTCAAGGTCACACAGTCTGAGGAAAACCCAGGATTCCAAAGTGAAACTGCCTGACCTTAGGGACAGACCTTTCATTCCATCAAATCCTTCTCCAAAGAGCTCTTTTCACCTAACCAAAGCTCTAGCCACTCTAAAATTCTCTAAACTCATCCTAAAATTGCAGGCTTACACTTTGAGAATGGCCTTGGAAAGGGGCACACAAATGGATAATTCCAGCATAGGTGTCAAAGAAAAGCCACATTGAAAAATAAGCCATTAACTCACTGACTTGATGTTTTTTTCATCTTTAAAGCACCACTTAAGAAACCAAGAACCTAAATGGGTTTTTTGACAGCAAATATTGACAGGATCCAAAGCAGCCTAAGAATGCGTCAGGTATCCAATCATTACTATGAACACCTGAAGGGAGTGTCAGAGGCTTGCTTGCAAATGGCTAGAGATGATTCATTAATATAATTGTAGGGCGGTGATATCTAAGGGACAAACTATAGACTAAATTAGAGCCGTAAGGAAAACGCCTTATAACTTGAATTTGATCAAAATACCTAGACTCGCAGCTCTCTGTTTTTACTCCATCGGCTACACAATTGATTCATCTTGTCTCTTTCACCGACTTCTGTTTGAATGCAAATAAAATACCTTCTCAATGATTCAGTTTTTCCATCTGCAAATTGGGCATGATATTTGCCACTCAAAATGAGTTTTGGAAATGAGCTACTTTTTTAGGAAAGACTAAACCAAGACCGAAAAGTCTAATATCGATGACCTGGAGTTAATATCATGACCTGGAGTTAATATCATGACCTGGAGTTAATATCGGGTTGAACTTCCTTCTCCGTATAGAGTCTGTATAAATGTAAAGGGGGCAGGCTTTTGTCTTTTCGTTTTGTTTTTTGTTTGTTTTTGTAGCACATACCCTTGCATTTCTTTTTCCCCCTTGAGGTTTGTCCATCTCAGATGTTTTTAAAGGTGCCCCTGGTGCAGCAGATCCAATGCGCCGCTTTCCCAAGCTATACATAATTTGTTGCATCCTCGAAGTTGGGAATGGAAAAAATCTACTAGATCATCTTTTGCCAGAACAGGATCCGGTTCCCTGATAATAGGCCTATCTGATGTGAAATGAATACTACATTTGATCTCACCAGGTAAAGAAAAGCAGAAAGAATTCCCTGTAAGGTAATTCCACTACTCCCTTAATTATTTGTACTGTTCTGCTTGGCTCCAGGCTTCGGGCCCAAGGGTTCTGGAAACAATATTCCCTCCACAGGCACTCCTGTGAGACTTACAATGGA